AATAATAATAACAATAATTATAATTTTAATGATAAACTCACAAAAAATCCAGGAACAAAGCCACAAGTTAAGGCACTTAAGGCAGTACAGTAGAGTTTTGTATTGAATTAAGAAAGCACTCACGAATTATATATATACCGGTAACGAAAAAGGTTTATATCTGCACAACCCCCAAAAAAAAAAAAATGACAAAAGGCAATTCCATTAAAATGACTGTGTAAAGTTGAGTTACATGCACTGTTATACAGTCAAGCAGATAGCAAAATTAGCGGGACACAGAAATCCTTTCGTTATGGATAAATTTCCCTTTATATGCGTATTTTAATGTGTGTTCGCTACGCGTATGTTCCAGCATCATACCAACTGATCGGATTCTGATGACGCTCGATGACACCGCAGAATACAAAAGATTCACATTTTACAGATACGTGCCAACTATAAAATTTTAATATGTTTATTAATTTTAAACGAGCAATGACAGAATGCTATTTCCATAAAATGTTGGTCATTCAGACTACTCTGTGCGTGATTTCAGAGGGTGTGCATAATTAGATAAGCTGATACCATCAGGAAGAAAAGCGTTTCATAAGCGACTGCATACATTTTTTCTGGCAAGGAAATTGTTTTAAATATAAAGTGACGGCTTACATTTCTTCTATAGCAAACAAATTATTTTTATAAAGCAACTGCTTACATTTCTTCTCTATAGCAAAGAAATTGTTTTTATAAAGCGACAGTTTACATTTCTTCTACAGCAAAAAAATTGATTTTATAAAGAGACTGCTTACATTTCTTCTATAGCAAAGAAATTGTTTTAAATATAAAGCAACTGCTTACATTTCTTAGCAAGGAAATTGCTTTTATAAAGTGACTGCTTACATTTTTTCTAGAAGGAAATTGCTTTCATAAAGCGACTGCACATCTGGCAAGAAAAGTGTTTTACATACACACATATAGGGTGACCGCTCTTATTCTCTTGGCAAGAAAAGTATTTTATTTTCATTTCAGACAAAAAAAAGTGGTTTTAAATATAAGATGAATGATTTTTTGGCAAGAAAAGTGTGTCAGCCATATTTTACTGACTGGCAAGAGAAGAGGCTACACTATAACTAATTATAAGTCTACAGTACATATTTTTATTTTCATTTTGAGGAAGCCCCTTTCAATCAAAGACCCTTTCAACTCTCAACAGAGAAAAGCGAATTTTTAAAAACTATGCAGAGAAAAACTTTCTTTTGAACTTCAATTCAGCGCACCCCCCCCCCCCCTCCCCCACATCCCTAAACAACACACACATATAAACACATCACACACACATACACACACACACACGCACACACAACATTACAGTTGAACTCATTAACAACACAATAACAGTTATAGCTATATCTCTAACATCCTGTCAGGACCAAGACAAAAAGGCAACAGGGCTAATAGATGGATCTGAAAGATTATATAGATTCTAGTAGCATTATACTAGGCCTGGCTGCCAGCTGTTACTCAAATTAATGATTGCATAATTTTTATGTGAATGCATCTATATATATCTATTAAGCATGTACTATGGAGAACATTATAATATTCATACATCATGTAGGCTATAAATATGATACAAAATATAATTCTAAAAAAGATATGGACCACGTACGTCATACTACTAATAAAAATATAATAAAAATATAAAATATAATAAAAATATATTATAAAAATACTACTACTACTACTAATAATAATAGTAATAAGTATAACTATAACTTATATGTTACAGAAGACTTTGTTGAACATGAAGCTGTTTAATAAGAAACTCCTGTTACCACGAAAGGATTTCAAATCCATGTTTGTTTTTTGTTTTCCCTCTTCAGTCCTTTTAGTTGCATTGTAACCTCCTTTACTTTAACATGAAACAGGTTTAAAATGTAGACAATCTCTGGTTTCGTAAAGTTTGCTTTAATATTAGGGTGTTACTTTATTAAATAGCATAGCATATCATCAGTTTCATTTCACAAGCGCTTCCGTTTTTTAATAAGGTCTGAGAAAATCAAAGAAAAAAAGAGAGAGCATCAGATTCAGAACCATGATTTGAACACTTTCTTTTCGGTTAAAACTAAGAAGGACATAACGAAACAAAATGAAAATTTGTATTGCAAGGCGTTCCTTATTGAACATGTGAAAGAGAAAGAGAGAGAGAGAGAGAGAGAGAGAGAGAGAGAGAGAGAGAGAGAGAGAGACAGAGAGACAGAGAGACAGAGAGAGAGACAGAGAGAGAGACAGAGTGACAGAGAGACAGAGAGACAGAGACATGGGGGGAGGGAGGGAGATAGGGAGAGAGAGAAACAATATATTCCACTTTTAAATAAGATAAAATGGAACAAAGGTAGACACTTTTTAAGAGTTAAATTTTACAAATAAATAAACTTTTAAAATATCACAAAGACACAACACTTTTTCAGCACCATATATATATATCACTATTAAGTAATCTCATTATAGACAAGTCCTTTAAAGAGCAAGTCGGTTACGTAATGTATGTAAAGAAAATCGGGTAGAATTAAACTTCTCAAAATTTTATAAATTAATGAATAGGCTAGGCCTACAACATGCACAATATTATTATGACTACAGTAAATGAAAGAAAAGTAATGAAAATAAAGCCCAAATAAAACTTTCCAGTCAAACAAACTATACCACACACGACAAACATTCTCATTCAGACAATTAACATTAAAGCCTTTGAATGAAATATAAGAAAAATGTACCTCCACCAATTTTACTAACCCTGGTCATAGAAATTATATACGGTACAGTGTTATATCCTCAAACTGTTCAACTGCACAGCCCTAAATGACACCAGAGCTACCCTTCTCCCTCCGAGACCTAACATTGACAACACACTCTATGGAACATTACAGCAACTGCAGCAAACCTGCACTTATCACTACATGGCATTGGACAGAAGGGCCAGAGCCCAGCTGTTGCTGGATCGATAACAACAACAACAACAACAACATATTCTCAAACGTAATCGAGTGAAAGTCTTGGTCTAACCATGATCAGATCAGTGTATAGAAAAATGAAAGGACAATTTCAATCAACAATATACACATTCCATGATTTTAAAAAAATTGACAATCATGAAAAAGGAGAAGAAAAACACGTGTCACATTTAAGAAAAAATTTTTTGGGGTGTTTTTTATCTGTAACATGTTGAATGTTGTAAATTTGATGCAGACCCAGAGTAGAAACACAGTGAGTATAAATATGTGGCACGACGTGGTGAAATCAGGCACTGGTCAATTTTTGGGCATATAGTCATATAGGGTTATTGGTATCATCTGAAAGCTGATTTATTTGCTTTGCCTCCGATTAAATAAATATCCATCTATATTGAATAGAACTCAAGTTATTTGAAATTGAAGGAAGTGAAGTCGCCTGGTTTCAGAGGTGAAATTAGCGAGAAAATGACCTTCAAAATTTGGTAGCACTAAAGAGTCCTTGAAAACAGAAAAATGACATATTTTGTGCCTTTAATCAATGTTTTTCGTAAAATTCACATCTAAATGTGTTTTTATATATACGGACGTAAAAGAGGTTGAGCAAAAAAATAAAAACTGGATAAAAATTTCCTAACTGGCGGAGAAATGCCTATTTCCCCGATTTATGTATTTTGACGAGCGCCTGATTTCACCTTGCTGCCTCATATAATATACTCGAATCAAGGACTCTACAGGTATTGTAAGCTCGCCGTTCTTCATTTCATTGAAGGTTCCAACCTTGTAAAATAAAACCTGGGATGAACAACATACAGAAAAAAAAAAATCATAATTGCCCTCACTGGAACCAGGACGTCACCAACTAGAAAGTCTAATAAATATACGGATGCAACGAAAAACAATTTAAATTTAAATTTGTATGTATGCCCCAATGTATACAACTATCAAAGTTGTACAAGACAACAATTAAGCCTTTGTCGAGAAAAAAAAACAGTTGTCTTACAAAGATAGACCCTTCTATTAGGACAGTCTTAATTGTATCAAAAAATAAAAAGCAAGGGGGGAAATGGGATGTAGACATATTCGCACAGATGATTGTCTTGGACAGATGAACATCAGAGCAAGTTTGACTGTTGATAATAATCCACCTTTTGGACAGTGTCATGGTATAAAAATAGTTCAACTCATTGGGGGGGGGGATGGAAAGTAGTCATTTGCAAAGGTGATTGTCTTGTACAGATGACCATCAGAACAGGTTTGACGGTACTGTTTGCATAATGATAAAATCTCTATAGATCTATATTCAAAACACACATGAGACATGATGCTGTCATGTATGTACGCACACCACGACCTATCTATTGAGAGCTCCAAAAAACCAATTTGCCTCAGAGGCCTTTCATTTGTTTTCAAGCATCATCTTTAGCCTTCATCTGCAGTTGAATGGGTTGCTTGGGTACCAAGAAGCCAGTGTAGTCCTCAATGTCCAGTACCTCCGGCAAGGCACTGACCATCTCCACTCTCTTCATCACTTGCACAATGGCAGACTTTAATTCTATCATAGCCATTCTCATACCTGCACACTGCCGGGGCCCGTAACCAAAGGGCAGAAAGTTAATCATACTTGCAGTTTGCTTTTTATCATCGAGAAAACGCTCCGGTTGAAAGCAGTCTGGGTCGGAGAAGTATTCTGGATCTCGCATGATGTTCCAAATTGGAATAATGATTCCTGTCTTTGCTGGAATGACGTAAGGCCCTAGCTTCACCTCCTGGATGCTTTCACGTGGCACCAGGTGAATCGGGGGATAGTATCTCAAGGTCTCGTTAATCACAGCTTCCGTGTATTTTAGCTTCTGGAGGTCTTCATATGTTGGCTCAGATTTGTCTCCGATAACTCGCTGAATTTCATCGACTATATTTTCTTGCATGTAACGATTCCTGGAAATCTCATAAAAAATATACTGGAGCGTGGAGGACATAGTCTCGTAGCCAGCCATGATAAACAAGATTCCCTGGGCTACAATCTCTTCCGTAGTCAGTTTTTTCGATCCTTTGAGGTCTTCCGAATCTTCTGCTTCAGCGTTGATCAAGAGCTGCAGAAAATCTGAGTGGGCTTTTGAGCCGGAATCACTTTTCCTCTCTGCAACCAGAGCAGAAAGGTTCTGTCGGAAAAACTCAATATCACTATTTTTAATAAAACCGATCCTCAGGAAATCAAACAAATGCGCTATGGGTGGGCATAATCCCACACACATCATCTTCAATTGAGCAGACTTCCTGATCTTCATCATACTCCTTGCATATTGAGCAAACGGATGATCAAGGTTCTTCTGACAGTCTATATCCAACCCAAATGCAGCTCCGCAGATAACGTCCAACGCATACGCACCAAAAACAACTTTTGCTTCCGCCATTTTCCCCTCTCGAGCACAAAGAGCCAAGCTGTCCCCTAGATATCTACCAGTCCTGTTGATATGATGCATGAGTGTTTTCAGTTTTCCACTGCTGAACGGCTGAGTCATGATCTTCCGCTGCCTGTGCCAGTTATCTCCCTTTTCAAAGAACAAACCTTTCCTTAAAATAGGTTGATGCAGTTTCCGATCCGGAAATAAAAATCTGTCCCTGAAATTACCAAAGTCTTTGACAAACACTTGCTTCAATAGCTCTAGATCCAAAATCATAATGACAGGCTTTCGAAAGAAGTAGATTCCGTAGAGTCGGCCATATTGTTCCTGACACATCCTTATTTGTGCACGAACACCGATGGTATCGTCAAACATCTGCATAATGTTTCCAATTACCATTGTCGGTTTGGGTCCTGGGACACCAAGTTTCTCCCAAAGTCCTAAAGGCTCGATGTATCTGGGAAAAAAGCAACAAATAAAAAATATCAGTCTTGGGAACTAATAAAAGAACTGTAAAATAGCATCTTTGTCGTTTTAAAGAGAACTTTACAGCACGTGCAACAAAAATAGGTCATGATAATAGAAAAATCATAAGATTAGAGGTGTGTCACAAGAGAACAACATAAAAGGTAAGATTAAGGAGGAGAGACCATGATGATAAAAAATAAATGTTTTAGGAAAGAAGGAGGAGCAAACCACACCAACCACCCACCAACCACACATAATTATATAGCCGAGCCTATTTCTTAGTACTTTGCCTCTGTTCTGTACAGTTTAAATTAGAGGTATAGTTTAACTTTTTCTGGTCTACTTCACATTTGTGCATAATTTCCCACTTTTGTCTGAAATTTTTCAGATGTCTCAATCTGTCTATTGTCCTCATCAGCACACAAAGTATTTGTTAACTGAAGGTGGAAATTATATCACACTATTAATTTTTATAATTTAATAATTTAGTTCGTCCATCAATGTCTGACGGTGACCAATTCATCCCCAGAAGTCCAAAACAAAATAAAAAAGAAAAGCACTTGTGGCAGCCTAGATGAGTGCATTGTTGTCAAGAAGCATGTCAATAAGTGAGGCATCGTGGTGAAACCAGGCGCTCATCAAAAATAATAAAATCTAAATTTTAATTTAAAAACTTTGGTTTTTTGCACCTTAATTATGTCCATATATATAAAAACATTTCCAGGTGAAATTTACAGGAAAACGTTGATTAAAGGCACACAATAAGTTTGTTCGGTTTCCAAAGATTCTCAAACTTTCGAATATTTACCAAAATTTGGCGTCCATTTTCTCGTTAATTTTACCACTGAATCCAGGTGACCTCACCTCCTCTAATCGCAAATATCTCGACTTCTATTCAGTGGCGGTGGGTAGTGAAGGGCTCACGGGCTTGAGCCCCCCTCCCCCCCCCCCCCCCCAAGTCTATCCCAAGGCAAATGAAAATAACTAAATAAGCAGTTGAAACTGTTCTGATCGACTGCAATGAACACAGAGTGATATACTAGGCTTCTTGCTCGTTTATCCAATCACTGTTGTCCCCGCTTACAACTATAGTAACCTAAAAGCCAATCAAATGTCTTTAGGGCTCAGCAATCAACCAGCCCGTTCCCACGGTCTCTCCTTAATGAAACCCCTCTTGTAAAAAGGTAGAAGACTTGAAAAAAATAACACTGCACAGAGGGCTCACGCTCTCCCAGCCCTGACAATGGGGTGAAAGTTTACAACACACTTTCCCCCAGTGACACAGTTACCTATGCACCCATTGGGCCTTTGTTAGGCGCGTTCTATTTTCTGCAACAACACGACCCAATCCACCTCATACACGGTGTGTGTTTGGAGTGCTGTGTATTTGTGCCGCTGAGATGTAACAATAATCAAATAAAAACTAATTGGAGAAATTTGGAGGTGAAACGGCTTCGTCCCCACCATCCAGAAGAAGTTAACGTAGAAAAAAAGAGATGGCAGACAAAGGTGACTCTTCTCGTTTGAATGGTTCTCAAAATGCAGTGACTCGCCGTGAGTATAGAAAAATCATCACTGTGTTGTTCTTATTGCTTGCTTTTTGGTGGTAAAGAAGTGGAAGAAACCTAAGCCCCACCCAAATCTAGGTTCACCCACCGCCACTGCTTCTATTCAAGACAGATTGATATTCTTTTTCGCGAACTACAAGACAAATGAACAAGCTTTAAGATGATATTAATAATTCTATTGCCCAAAAATTGACGAATGCCTGATTCCAAAACGTCGTGCCAACATGTCATAGCCGCAATAAGTTGGTCGATTGTGTCGTAGCAGGTCATGAAGTGTGTGGAGAATGTCTTAGCAGGCAAGGGTAGGGTGTTAAATTGTAACAGCAGGTCAGTTTGTTAAGTGTATTGAAATAGGCAAATTTGTTGAGCGTGTTGTTGGCAAATGTGTTGTAGCACGCACATATATATTGTGTTATGGGACAGTGTGTATCATATTATAGCAACACAGCAAACATTTTCCACCCCACAAACACCCCAAGAATTAGCCTCAATGATTGTGTACCATGAATAGAACACACTGGGCTGTGTCCTCCTGCTGAAAGCAAAAATGCTGCCTGCTTGTGGTAAATTGAAGGTGAAATTCAGACTGTCAACTTTCTCGTGCCAGACAAAATTTTAGCACTTTTTAATATAAAATTAAACACGCATCGAATTCCAATTCAACAAAAGGCCTTGTGGCATAGAATGTAAATCACACGTACAATCATAAAGTATAAAGATTACATTTTCACCTCTTTCAATTTTTGCATAAAATACAATTACACTCCAATTAAAAAGCCAAGATTAGGAAAGAAAAAAAAGAACAAATTTAGACAAAAAGTAAAAGTGTGGGCAAACAATTTTAACATCACATGGTGAAAGAGTAAGTGGCAGCCACAGATAGACGCCTATCTAGAAATCTAGATCTCTACATCTAGAATCTAGATCTAGATCTAGATCTAAACATAATAGACGTCTACATGGCCTAGAATGCGTAATGATTAGAAAATGTAGTTTAGACTTTAGAATAGAATAGAGGCCTAGTTACTTACATGTAATAGGTCAGAACAGCAGCCAGCAACACACCAGCCAGAACCACAGCGGCAAATCGATGACATCAGCGAATGAAACCATTGCTGCGATGTTTCTGTGCTGCAAATCTTGAGAATACAGCGCACTTAGATTTTTTTTCGATCTAATATTCTAATCGTCTTGATCTTGAACAAGATTCATAGGCTTCAACTTGTACTGTAGATGTAGAAGGCTACACTTGCACTGAACTCTCGAGTAGAGCGCTTCTAGATTCTAGATTCTAGATCCAGATATCAAGACTAGATCTAGATCTAGATTTCTAGTTGAATTAACTAGATCTAGATCTAGAATCGTGACGATGGCAACCCTGCCAAGCTAGGAAGTGACAGACTGACTGATTGTGTCTCTCTCTCTCTCTCTCTCTCTCTCTCTTTCTCTCTCTCTCTCTCTCTCTCTCTCTCTCTCTCTCTCTCTCTCTCTCTCTTCTAGGACGATTTTATTTGACTTGCACCTGCGATATAATGCTCCAATTCTCACAGTACTGTAGGTTTGCGTTTCAATTTTAGCTGTCAACATAATACGCAGCAAGCATTGATCATCATACGTCTGTTTCGTTCAATATTTTGAGTTCAAGGCTAGACTTCTATCTGGCTCCACGTAACTGAGACCTCGGCCACTGTTTACATATCCTAGAGACGTGTGTCGTGTGTCGTTGATTTGTTTTTGTTTTGGTTTTTCAGACAGGAGGGAAGTTCCGTTCCGAAATCCCCTGACGTTTTCCCATTTCCCGCTAAAATAAGGGGTTAAATTAATTTATTGGCTTAAAAAACGGCCAAACACCCCCCCCCCCCCAAAAAAAAACAACAACAAAAAAACAACAACAAAACAACAACAAAAACAGATCAACCAGCCGATGTTCGGTTGGTTTTTTTTTTTTAAGTTTTACGGCGCTCGCAACTGCAGAAAATCGTATTATTATTATCAGCGCACGGACACATTAAACATTTTCAGGTGGTAGATCTATATAACAATATATAGGAAATTTTGAATTTTGCCCAGGTGGCGGCCGAAGTCCCTCCTGATCTTATTGATTTTGTTTGTTTTAGTAAGGTTTTACGGCGCTCGCAACTAATTAAGGTCATATGAGCCGTGAGCGCCATTAAGGAGTGGATGTCAACAGAAAAGTCCAATAAAGTTTTAATCATAATTTGGGAATTCCGATTCTTCTTGAAATTATCAATCTATTAAAATTCATCTGACAATTTACGTAGAATGATTGAATACATGTAAAGATCTTTTTGTGCGCGCAGATTTTCATTGATTTTTTTTTCTCCCTTAAATTTGGAAACTTCTTGTCCCTTGACCTCTGAGAAACAATAAATTTGAATTCGATAAAGCGATTGTTGAAAGCTCATTTAAATTGTGTTACAACGCGGTGGAATCGGGCACTTGTCAATTTTCGGGCATGTAGGTAAAGTTATTGTGGTATTATTGAAAGCTTATTCATTTTCATTGATTTCAAGGGAAAATATGCCCATCTATCATGAACAGAAGTCGAGATATTTGCAATTGAAAGAGGTGGAGGCGACTGGTTTTAGTGGTAGGTAAAAGCCTGTCTATTGATAACTGGTGATAGATTATATAATAGTAGGTATTAGGCCTTATGTCATGTGCATTTGTTGTTGGTTTTTTGTGCATCTGCACCTTGCGACTTTGCCACATTATGATAAATGCGAGTATTGTGTGCGCGTGTGCTTGTGTACGAGCGATCGTTGCGTGCGCACGTGTGTGTGTGTGGGGGGGGGGT